ATTTTATAGACTTGATGAACAGGATTATCAGACAGTTCCTAGATTAGTACGTCGTAGTGTTTATCGATGATATCTTGATCTATTTGAAGAGCAGAGTAGAACACGCTTAACACGTGATTCAGGTGTCTTACAAGTTTTTAGGAAAAAGAAGCTATATGCAAAATTGAGTAAGTGTAAGTTCTGACTCAAGCAGACTACATTCTTAGGGCACAGAATATCTAAGGATGGGGTATCAGTAAATCCTGATAAGGTTGAGGTGGTACTCGGTTGGGAGAAATTGACTTTGTTTAAGGAGATTCATAGCTTTTTGAGAATGATAGGTTATTACTGTAGGTTTGTGGAAGAGTTTTCTAGTCTAGCCGCTCATTTTACCCAGCTTATAAAGAAGAACGTCAAGTTTGAGTGGAATGAGAACTGCGAAATGAGTTTTACAGAACTCAAGAAATGGTTAACTACCGCACCAGTTTTGGTTTTGCCAAGTGGAAGAGGTGGATACACAGTGTATAGTGATGCTTTCTACCTAGGGTTGGGTTATGTTCTGATGCAATATGCAAAGGTTATAGCCTATGGGTCCCGATAGTCGAAAATTCATAAAAAGAATTACCCCACCCACGACTTAGAGCTTGCCACCATTATCCATGTCTTGAAGACCTGACGCCACTACTTGTATGAGAAGACTTTTGATATTTATACAGACTATAAGAGTTTGAAGCATATATTAACTCAGAAGAATCTCAATATGCATTAAAGGTATTGGATAGAGCTCATCAAAGATTAATATTGTAAGATTTTGTATCACTTGCGCATAGGCAATGTGGTAGCCGACGTGTTCAGCAGAAAAAGTGCAGGTATGTTGACTCACTTAATGGTTTCTGAATGGAAGGTAATAGAGACTACGCAACAGATATGGTGACTTGAAGAGAGTTATATTTCTGGCCCATCTAACTATTCAATTTGAACTGATTCAGAGAATAAAGGAAGCCTAATTGACTGATTCCACCCTAATAGCTCTCAGGAAGGTTACAGAACAAAGAATAAATCCAGAATTTCGAGTATCTGCTGATGAGTTCCTCAGATTCCAAGACAGGTTGTGTGTTCCAGATGATAGTGAACTAAAAAGGAATATTATGACATAAGCCCATAGCTCAAAATTTACCATGCATCCCGGAAGTACTAAGATGTATCAAAGTATGTGACCCTGATTTTGGTGGAGGGGGATGAAAAAGAAAATTGCTAATTTTGTCTTCAAGTGTCTTGTATATCAGTAGATTAAGGAAGAACATCAATGCCCAGGTGGGCTATTTCAGCCATTACCGATTACAGCGTGGAAATGGGAACATATCACCATGAATTTTGTAATAGGGTTGCCTAAGACATGCTAGGGACATGATGTCATTTGGTTAGTTGTTGATCGGCTCACTAAGTCCTCTCATTTCTTAGCCATTAAAGTGACCGACCCCTAATGCAAGTTAGCAAGAATTTATATTCGAGAGATATTCAAGCTACATGGAGTTCCGCTGACAGTGGCATCCGACAGAGACCCCAAGTTCACCTCTATTTTTTGGTCTAGTTTTTAGCAAGTAATGAGAACAAAATTATCCCTCAGCACCAACAAATTGACAGTCGAAACGAACAATTCATACACTAGAGTATATGCTCAGAGCTTGTGTTCTAGACTTCGGAGGATATTGGAATGATCACCTGCCCCTAATAGAGTTTAGCTACAATAACAATTACCAAGCAAGTATCGGCATGACCCCCCGTATGAGGCATTGTATGATTGACCCCGTAGGTTACCGATCTGTTGGGAAGATGTGGGTGATAGAAAATTATTTGGCCTAGATAGGAGAGCAGAACTAAGATACTTAGAATCAAGAAGAACATTCAGAAAGTTCAGAGTAGACAAAAAAGTTATGCGGACACCCGGAAGAGAGATTTAGAATTTAAGATGAATAATCAGATATTTTTTAAGGTCACCCCCTTTAAGAGTATTAATAGGTTTAGAAAGATGAGAAAATTAAATCTCTAGTTCATTGGACCGTTTGAGATCTTGGACATGGTTGATACGTCTGCTTACAGACTAGCACTACCTCTAAAGCTATCTAGAGTATATAATGTATTCCATGTGTCTATGTTACGTAAGTATAATCCAGACCCTTCGAATATCTTGTCTAACGAGTTATTTTCACTTTAGGAGGATCTATCCTATGAGCAGGTATAAGTAAATATTTTGGACCAAAAGAACAGAGTGCTTCATAACAGAGAAATTTCTTTTCAGACGCGATCGATTGGTCAGATTCAATCCCATCGTGCGGTCCAGATTCATTCCTCGAATAAGAGAAATCCAGTGGATGAAAAAATGTCACGTGTCCCTGCACGGACGACCCAGATCGGCTCGGAGAGGATATTTAAACTTCGCATTTTAGGAAATCCTAACCCTAATCGCACTGTTGTCGCACGGTGAGGGGTGGCCAGAAAGAAACCGACTGTTGTCACCACCACAACAGAGCCATCGTCGATGCCGAAAAGGTATTTTTTCCCCTTTCTCATTCGAAATTCAATTTTAAACCTATCCACAGCCATATCAGAGTCGAAAGGCTGATGGGTGAGCTAGAAAACATGAGTGAAGGTCGGCCAAGTCGCCGCGGCCAAAATCTAAAATATCCTTTGATGAGCCCCTTCTAGTTTTTCATTTTTCTTGATTTTCTGATCATTGTGTTCTTCATCCCTTTCTAGTGCAGGTTAATCGAAGGAGAACCCCAACTGCAAAGGAGGAACAACGAAGCCGTCGAACCCAGAGACCCTTCCGCCAATAGGGTCTCAGTGTTTGCCTTTTTTGGCCAACAGAAGCCCACTAACTTGATTTTTTGCAGGTTCCCATGACAAAACAGCTAAAATCAACCTAAACCAGCCGAAAACGGTTAGGCTAAGAGGAACCGCCGCCGTGGGCGGCGAAGTTGGTGCCGGAGCACAGCAGTGCTGCCATGTTAGAACCTTAAATTGGCCGAAAAAATTTAAAAACATCTATTTTGGCCTTTTGAGGTATTTTTGAATACGTGACATGTATTTTTAATTTATGGATAAAAAATTCAGAAAACTCGAGGATTGCCAAGAAACATATTGAAAAGTATATTATACAGTGAAAAGTATATTACCACCGACCTGAGGTAAGAATCTCTCACCCTTTTTTTCGTTATAGTAAATTAAATGTTAATAATCAATAACATTGTATTTTGTGAAAATTAAAAAAATTCTAAAATTTATTACAGATCACTAGTTGAGCCAGAACTGGTTAGTACAAAATTGCTTATTTTATCTATATTATTATTTTGTTGTTAGACTGTTGTTGTTGCTTACTCCACGCACTTTAACTCATAGGTTTAATTGACTTCTTGTTTATTGATTGTCTAACTGTTATTTTCATATGTTGACTTATTTGAAATAAATCCACTAATTATATTTCTAAATTGTTAAAGTATAAATTTGTATTGTTTGCTTAAATATCATTCTATTAATCTATAATTATGAAATAAAATGTTTGTATGCGATTGATAATTGGTTGATGATGCGAACCAATTTATGAAAGGCTTATTGCATATCCTGAGAAAGAGTGCACATACTCGATATATAGGAAAAATCCTACTGTGGACATTACCTCAGTCGAACGAGGCTGAGAAGTCCTATACTGAAAAGGATTGAGAAGTATAGATCACCCTCATACCGGATGGGGTATTGAGGCGGTAGTATGTTTGGCGCTCATTATCGAACGGGATATTGAGATGGCTAGTTAATTGACAAGTTGGATATTTGATCCATGCGTAGAGAGACATCTCTATGGACCCCCAAAGGTACCGATAAGTAAGTAAGGAGATAAGTTTACTATTGATTGTTCATGTAAATGTGTAACAAAAATGATATTCGAATTATTGTTTTTATAGGTCGATTTTGGAAACTCATAAGAGTAAGTATGGAGTAACAATTTTTATGTTAAATAAATTTATTTAAGAAAGTAAATGGCTTCATTAGTTATTTTATGATTTTTTTACCAATTTTTGATTTTCTGTATCGGTGATAAGTATGATATTCTTACTGGGGTAGTGTAGTTTATTCCTTTATTTAACTATTTTAGATGAAAAAGTCTAAAATCCAGATCCTAAATAGGAGGAGTGTTGCAAATAGAGGTTATCTCCCGGACCCCATCAGAGTTGCCCAGCAGAGGTTAACTCTATAGAATTTTTATTTTATTTTATTTTATTTTAACCATTTATTCCAGTACTATAGATGACTATAAGGGGACATTTTCATAATTCTATTGGACATTCTGATTTACTGTGCAAAGAATGTAAACCATAAATTCTGCATTGTTTCCGTTTATAGTTGACATAATTAAATATTTTCATTACCTTTAGCTTGGGCCTTTATATTTTTTCATAAAAAAAATTTGTTAAAAAATATCTCAATTTTATATCTTAGCATTACAAAATTAATCTTCATAAAAATACAAAAATATTTTTGAAGAATAATCAAAGTGATTTTAAATTAAAGTAAGTTCTTTCATTATCTAAAAAAATACCTCAAAAGCTAATATCAGATTTGATATATAGAAATTTACCAATAAACGAAGAAGAAACACAATAAAGACAAGAAGAAAGTAGAGACAATGAAGGTTTGACGAAAAAACTCTAATACGATATTCAAGAAAAATAAATTCTAGATGTTTCAAATAAATAAAAGTGATATTTACTTTTACACTAAATAAAAAAAAAACTACTATGCATCAATAGAATAGAAAAATACGACCTGACCAAGAAACTAAGAATAATAGAGTTAACAATTAAAATAAAATTCGTTGTTGAGAGAATTTAGTTTAAAATTTTCCATTTTCCTGCTTCCAGATTTTATTATTTTATATATATATATATTTTTTTTACCTGTATGGCGTCTGACACGTAGGATCATAATTCGCGAGGCACACCACGTAGTTTTGCTGAGCTGGAATGACGCCTCAACAACTCGCGAATTCTCGAAACGCAAACTCCTAGTCTCCTCTAGAACTCTCTACTACTTTCGAATTCAATATCTCATCATCTTGTATCTTCTACTCCTCTCTCGAATTTTCTGTTCACCTCTCCGCCCTTATATATATAGACCCACCGATCAACTCCGGTCACCATCAAAACAACACAAGAAAGCAAAGCAAAACAAAGCGAACTTCAAACATCACGAACTTTCTCCTACCAGTCTCAGAAAACCCCAAGTTTCAGATTTCACGTTTACAGGTTCATTAATGGCGAAAACTGAAGGAAAGGCCATTGGCATTGATCTGGGTACTACATATAGTTGTGTGGGAGTATGGCTAAACGACCGCGTTGAGATCATTGCGAATGACCAGGGTAACCGGACTACTCCCTCTTATGTTGCTTTTACAGATACTGAGCGGCTCATTGGAGATGCGGCGAAGAACCAGGTCGCCATGAACCCGCAGAACACAGTGTTTGATGCTAAACGTCTGATTGGAAGACGCTTCTCTGATCCTTCTGTGCAGAGCGATATGAAGCTCTGGCCATTTAAGGTCGTCGCTGGACCAGGTGACAAACCCATGATTGTGGTTCAGCACAAGGGTGAGGAGAAGCAGTTTTCAGCAGAGGAGATTTCTTCAATGGTGCTCACTAAGATGAAGGAGATTGCCGAGGCCTTTCTAGGTCAAAACGTGAAGAACGCGGTTATTACTGTCCCTGCTTATTTCAATGATTCGCAGAGACAGGCGACTAAAGATGCCGGCGCTATTTCTGGGATTAATGTGATGAGAATCATTAATGAGCCCACGGCTGCCGCAATCGCTTATGGATTGGATAAGAAGGGTTCGAGAACCGGCGAACAGAACGTGCTTATTTTTGATCTCGGCGGAGGAACTTTTGATGTTTCGTTGTTGACTATTGAGGAAGGGATTTTCGAAGTGAAAGCCACCGCCGGTGATACTCACCTTGGCGGTGAAGATTTCGATAACAGACTTGTGAATCATTTTGTTGCAGAGTTCAAGAGGAAGCACAAGAAGGATATCAGCGGTAATGCAAGAGCTCTGAGAAGGTTGAGAACAGCTTGTGAGAGGGCTAAGAGGACTCTCTCTTCAACGACTCAGACTACAATAGAAATTGATTCTTTATACGAAGGTATTGATTTCTATTCCACCATAACCAGAGCTCGATTTGAGGAATTGAACATGGATTTGTTTAGGAAATGTATGGAACCTGTGGAGAAATGTCTTCGAGATTCGAAGATTGATAAGAGTAATGTTCATGAGGTTGTTCTTGTTGGTGGATCAACAAGGATTCCGAAAGTTCAACAGTTGTTACAGGATTTCTTCAATGGAAAAGAACTCTGCAAGAGTATAAACCCTGATGAAGCTGTCGCGTACGGAGCTGCTGTACAGGCGGCGATTTTGAGCGGTGAAGGGAACGAGAAGGTTCAAGATCTTCTCCTTCTCGATGTTACTCCTCTAAGTCTCGGAATCGAAACCGCCGGCGGGGTAATGACGGTTTTGATTCCGAGGAACACGACGATCCCGACGAAGAAGGAGCAGATTTTCTCAACTTACTCTGATAATCAACCCGGAGTGTTAATCCAGGTCTACGAAGGTGAACGAGCTAGAACGAAAGACAATAATCTGCTCGGAAAATTTGAACTCACCGGAATCCCGCCGGCGCCGAGAGGTGTTCCTCAGATCAACGTCTGCTTCGACATCGACGCGAATGGAATCCTCAATGTCTCTGCAGAGGATAAAACTGCTGGTGTGAAAAACAAGATTACGATTACAAACGACAAAGGAAGATTAAGCAAAGATGAGATTGATAGAATGGTTCAGGAAGCAGAGAGGTACAAAGCAGAAGATGAACAGGTGAAGAAGAAGGTAGAAGCTAAAAACTCACTTGAAAATTACGCTTACAATATGAGAAACACGGTGAAGGACGAGAAGATCGGAGGAAAACTTAATCCAGCAGATAAACAGAAGATCGAGAAGGCGATTGACGAGACTGTTGAGTGGCTAGACAGAAACCAATTAGCAGAAGTTGAGGAACTTGAGGACAAATTGAAAGAACTTGAAGGAATCTGCAATCCGATCATAGCGAAGATGTATCAAGGTGGTGCAGGCGGTGATGTGCCGACGGGTGGTGATCCAGGCATGGCCGGTGGATATGGCAAGGCTAGCTCTGGTGGTAGTGCTGGTGCTGGACCAACCATTGAAGAAGTTGATTGAGTTAATGGGAGGTTGTTAAGAGTTTTCTGTTTTGGTTTGGTTTGTTCTGTTTCTGCATTTTGTTGAGTGGGTTTAGGGTAATGTGTGATAAATACTTGGAAAATAATCATAAGAATGTAAATGTCTTTTAAAAGTTAAATATGTTTAAAATTTTAAATTTTTTATTCTCAAAAAATGAAAAAGTTACTTAATATTTACTAACACAGTGATTGGTTGACTCCTCCACTATCAAAATATTATTTTAATTATATTCATATTGATTAATTATTTTAACATAATTAAATTAATTCTTATCAGTTTGCAATTTTAATCTATATATATTTATAAAATTTTAATTTAGTCACCACGTTAATATATACAATTGACATTAGATATATGTTGTATTTTTTTATTTGAATTAATATTCATTTATGGAAATATGACATTTAATGTACGAATAATTTTGAATTTTAATTTTTTATAGTAAACAATTAATTATTGTAATTTTCGCATAAATAAAGTGATAATAAATTTAATTATTTTAACGAATAAATAAATAATAACTGTACAAAAAAAACTCTGCACTGATCCCGAAATATTAAGAAGACAAAAAGAGACGGAAGATTTTAATTTTCTTTACATGAAAAAAAAAAGGGTTTAAGACTGTCACGTCAAGTCCTCCCAATTCTCACGGCTTTCATAACGTTTTTTATTTCCTCATTCTCTTCAGGAATTCCCGCTAATTTTCTCGAGAAAATTGGGGAACAGCTTCCTCCGAGTATTTGTTCTCACTTAACGCGTGAATGAAATGAGGCATCAGGTCGATGACGGATAAAAGATTTGCCAATCTTACTCGAGAATGAGTCACCGGTGAGTTTCGCATTAAACGTGTTTAATCAAAATGCTCTTTCTGGCATTTTCTTTCTTTATGTTCATCCGTCTGTATTGTTAGTTTCTAATGTGCCTCACCGTGAGAGATTTCATGTTGTTCGAGTAATTAAGGAGCTATAGAGCACAAAGTGAAAAATCAGGCAAAAGCTATTGGAGAAGAATTCTGTTTTCACGTCCTGCTGAACATCTGAGGTGCTAGCCAGTTCGATCTTCTAACAAAACAAAATTAATCTAAAGGAGCTATGAACAATTCAACAATAGGATTTGGCGTTGCTATGCGAACATAATCGGAAATCTATTGATTATCCATGCTGGAATAAGATTTCAACTATGACGACTTAACTAGCATTTTCATTTCGTAATTCATGATTTAATATTATATTGCTTCAATTCATGCATAAAAGGAGAATTTTTTTTTTAGATTTCCCTAGTACTATAAATGGCAATCTTTTGGCAAAGTTTAGGCTGCCAAGGTATGTTTATCAGTTAGATCATAATGAGAGTGAAAAACAAGTAAACATATAGGGCATAAATGCTCAATGTATCCATTGGCTTTTCATTATTTATGAACTTAAAACAAAAATTGCACAACCTCGTTTGTTTTGCTTAGACCGATGGCAGATTGTTGTTCGCTGTGGTTCTTATTAGAGCTTGTGGTAGAGAGGAAGCGACAAATGATTCTTTTGCTTTTGTG